TCGTATGGAAATATTAATAGAACTAAACATATCAAGAATGAAATTAATCTTTGTGTAGGAGTAATTAGAAACCGCAATACGATTTATTGACGCAGCTTAAGCGTTACATAAACGTAACGTGTACGCATCTATCACGATGAAGGCTTACGTTGGACGAACGCCAGAGAGCCGTACAGTTATACGCTTCCATATAAAGTACAGTTACTTTGAAACAGTATTCACATTTCGTTTATTCATTACAAAGTCAGCAGAAATCGTAAAAGCTGTTTTGTTTGCGAGAAATCCTCTTTTCGAGGCTTGCAGTTTAATTTTGAAATATCTGATGAACAAAAAGGCTTTGTCATATATTCAACTTTTTTGGTACGTGAAATGTGACTTTAATGCACTAGCTGTAAGGATACATTTCATGTGTTTTATTATTTAAGGTTTAAAACATTTTGCAGATCATTAAAAATATTAGTTAGTGTGAATACGTGTTAAAATAAATTGAAAATCGATGAATGCGCAAGTTCTGTGTCAAATACCCACCCAGTCATGTATAAATTGGATTCGTCAGGGATTCACATTTTATTTATTACTTTTTATTTACTATCTATTTTTTTGCGTTGCCGCAGTTCACATTGCGGTTTAGTGTTGTTTGTGGTTTAATATATTTTTGTACAATCACGTTTCGATGAATATTTGGAGCGAATATACAAAAATTGAGGTGATGGGACTAGAGTGGCTTAAACTTTTATGAAAATCTCTTAAATATAAATGATTTTACTTATTTCTATTTCTACTTTCATGTTTTGTTCGAATATGAATGGATAAATGTTTATAGTAAGTAGCAACTATCTTTATCAAATTATTGTGATTCGTATAATTGTTTCCAGAACAATATAATTCAACCGCAAATTAATAAATGGATGCTGTGGACATGCAATTTATTAATCAACACACTAACAATGTATCTGAGTATAATAGTTAAAATAATTTATTATCTGGAGGCCATTTTGGGATAATAATGAATTATGTATATATGTATGTATGTAGCCTTTAACTCTTAAATGGCTAGGCATAATGACATTGAAACGCTTTGCTTGTTGACCTAAAACCGTTTTCTCAAATTATGTCCCTACCTACTTAATAGTATGTATTCACCTCTTGATTACATTTTTGCTTTGTTCGGTGTTACTATGTGTATATTGTGAACTTCAAATTAACATGGCCGGCCATTTGAAGTAGCCAGATAAGAGCGGAGAGCTCCCCTCATTAGTTCAGGCCTAACTAGAACGGGAAAGAACCTCTCCTGTGGTTCTCAAGTAGACTCTTGTTCAGAATGGCCTCGGCTTTTTCTGCACAAACTTTTCGATATATTTGTGTCCCTTGGATTTACCTGTTAGGCTGACTTGTTAACAGTTTGTTGTATTTCTATTTTTAAGGTCACTATTGTATTATGTATTTGATGAAACTTTATGATACACAAAATGGAAAAAGAGGTTTCATGTTAACAAGAGATATGCAATGAGTAATAAGATAAAGATCCACGATGCTTTTGATTCTCACTTCTGACACTCCTTATCATTTGAATTTGAAAAAATATAAAAACAACTATGTTCTACTAGTTAGTTATGATAGTTTGTGCTTTAATCTAGCCAAAATACATAGCGTGATAAAGACAGGAAATTTTAAAATATGTCACGGTACCATACTTTGTTGCTAAGTGAACTAAGTATTTAGTTCGCAAAGACACAAGTTCGGTGCTGTCAAACTTTCTTAGGTTAGTTTTCATCAAGTCACATAACTTGCATCAAGTTGAACACTTCATTTTAAAGCTTATTTGAATAGGATACAGTTTAAATTCTGTTGAATAAGTCATAATTATAGAGTAAGATTTAAAAACGTGAAGGCAGATAAGGTATTGCCCAAATTACTGAGAATTTTAAGTAAAAAACCCTTAATAATAATGTATTCTGTTTTCGGCGTACTAGTAGTACTTACTAGTACTAGTAGCGGCGCGACTGTCGCCGCGTCGCAGGTTGCAAAATGCTGCTCATTAATAGACCCTCTGGCTTGAAAGTAGTCGAATTTCTCGTCAAATAATTACGTGCGTAAGCCGAAAACTATAGTTTAGTATGTCTCAGGAAAGTTATAACCCTAATTGTAAACGCCAATTGCCTCATTTCTAAAAGCCTCGACCAACACCTAAATAGGCTATCGTTAGATGGTTGCTTCAAGGGCCTGATGCAGAAAGCAGCATTTCTGGACACGGCACGTATTGTGCGGAAATTCCTCTCTCTGGAGCCCTGAGCTACAGGTACTTATATATTTAAATGTTTTTAAAAATTCAATTAGTCCATACCTAGAAGTGACCTTTTGGAGATCACTCGACTGTTACAACGCACGACGTTGTCAGAAGTCAGTTACATCATCACCAAACTAAAATCAAATTCACAAAAAATGAAAATGTCCTGCCCTTTTCACGGGTATCGTACCTTTTAATGTCTATTTCAGTCCATTTGCGACTGAATTTCAGTACTTGACGTGAAATTCCATCTTCCATTTATTTCAGTTGACACCTACGACAATTTTGGCTAGATCCCTTGTCTTTTTACGGGCTTTGAGCTACTTTGAGCGTGCGTCTGTCAAAGTCTTTGCTATGACAAAGGTACAGACGGTCTTCAAGCTTGCAATGTTTTAATTACGAGTTCCCTTTAGAATTCGAGTTCCCACGACCTGTGCCAAAGAGATTGAATTGGCTTGGTGCTTAAGATATTTAAAGGTTTTGTAAGACAGTTTAGTTAGACTTCGAGTGCGGACATATTATTCATATTATTCACGTATCTATATTCAATAATGATTAAGTTGAAAAGACAAATACAATCAATAAAACAACATCAATAGCGACACGTGAGACGGGCACGTGTCTCAATTATTTTATTCAGTTAATTAATTAGAAGAACTTTTTACTAAAATCCTGAACTTTCGTTCAGCGAAACGTTAATTAGTATTTCACGGTATCGTCCGTCTGTGTTAGTAGGTATAAACAAATTCTTGGTATTCCACGGATATTAAAATGTTTGCTTTCAAACTTTCCGGTAAAAATCTCCTTTATTTTAGAATTAATAAAACCTCATTCATATCTATTGAGATTGAGACTGATTCACTGATATGATAAGTGATTGCAACCGATATTTATCTATTTATTTTCAGCCATGATCTTTCCACTGCACCGAATCCTTGGAATTCTAGCTTTTAATGAAATAAAAAATAATTATCGGTTTCATAAGGGGTAATTTTTTTCTTAAGTTTAGATTAAAACTATGACTTTCCTCTAAACGCCTAGGTTTATTCAGACAATAGCCATAAAGTTTTTAATTATAGTTCAAAAACGTTCCACAATGAGGGATATTAAAGTCTGGTTACACCTGGCTAGATCTAAAAGTATATTAGGTATCTAACAACGTAGAATAATATAATAACTGCTAGATACAGACCACATTGCCAAGTTTATAGTCATATATAGTGTACAGCGGTTGCTCCTAAGTTAAAAATGTTAGCTGCATTTACTAGACGGAACCACATGGCGGAGGTAACCCGCTCAAATGGTCCACTGACCGGCAAAACGTTCCAGTCTGTTTATATTTTACGACTAGTCAGTTTACTCAGCTTTACGTGAGTGCAGTTCCTTGACTTTCCCGGTGAATATTTATCCTGACGATAATATACAACAAATAAATCACTGTTTAACCCGTTGAAAATTGTTGAAAATCATCCCCTAAATTTGTTCATACAAAAGTAGTCTCTAACAAACATTGGAAATAAGGTCTATAATGTAGTTAGTGGAGAACGGTCACCGGTGACAGCTTGGGGATATATGTATATTAAATACAGTCATTTGTTTCATATATGATCAAAAAATGAGTGTTGCACAAAGGGTTCGAGGAGGTTCAGTTTGATATAGCGATAGGCTCGTCAAGTCATCATTATTTACACACATATGTATATGCACTATAAATGGTTTCATCCCATGAACTACGAGATAAACTACAGAGCCCCATCTGCTAAGCACGGAATTTACTTATTTCTTTAGCTTTTCCTAAGTGTGTACATCTGTTTATATTGAACTTATGTATAACTATGGATAGATAAATTTTTGAATTGTCTTTCTTTTGCACAACTATAATAAAGTCAAGAAGACAAGAATTTGTGTTCTCAATAAATATTTGAAGTTTTACGTCTAAAGTCTTTGATAGTCTGATTAATATTAAAATTGTCTAGACAGTTAGATAGCCTAGATTCCATTTAATTAGTAAATCAAAATGTGCTTTTATACGAGAAGAGGACGGAGATAAATTAATAAGAACGAAAGTTGAACACTAATTAATTGTTTTTGTTTTTTTTGGCAGATCACCTACGCGCTGGACACATCAAGTCAAATCGGCAACGGGAAGCCCAGTGTCGGACTGCGCTAAACAATCCATAAACAGAGAGAGATGGCGGGAGATCGTGAGGAAAGCAGTATCGACCTCCAACGCAAATACGGTCGCCTCAACGTGACCACGACCGCTCGGCCAAAAGCGAAACGACAGAGAAGAAGAATTGTTTTCCATAGTTTTTAAAGATAGCAATAGTTGCTATCTTTCTATATAGAGAGCCGTCAGATCACCACAGATGGGGCCCAATAGGGCTGATGCCGATACGGGTTGCCGGGGCTCCAGCTCGAAGTGCAGAAGTAGGGAACGGGGAGGTTAGTCAGCAAGAGTCTAACACTGCCTCTCGCCTTACCCAGGCGGGAGAATCATAAATTGATTTTCCCCTCTCAAAAATAAAAAAAAACTACGTGTCCATCACCTTAGCTATATAATATTTGTTTTAGGGCAGTGACAACAAACTCTACTGATGGAAAGTAGGTATTTAAGAACGAATCTATCTAGGTATCTAATCGTGCTTACAGACCTTGTAAGAACCTTACGTTTATCAAAGAAAATAATTTTTATACTAACAATATAACTTACTTGTTCGACAGATCCATATTGTCTCCTGGAGAATACGCCCCGTCTTGAGATGAGCTCGCTAGCCGATGATCTGTGAACAAGCAAAAAAATGATTGGTTACTAACATATGCCCATCAATGTATTGAAGTAAGCGCTCGTTGAAAGAAAGAATGAAAAAACTATTTCACGCCAAAAACAAGTGACACGTACAGATAATTTATTCTATTAGCAGGAACTGATGGATACATGTTCACGTCTCAAATCTGCCGTGAAATGAGACCAGTTCAGCATGTGCAAGACAGGGCCTTACGCTGGTATTCTACTGGCCTCGTTGCAGATATACCAGCACAAATATACACAGCCTTCTTGAAACATAATAGATAGAAATGTAACAAGATTTATCATTCCACATGGTAGATTGAACGGTAAAAAAATGTTGTAAAAAATATATACTTTTTCAATTTACACACTAACAAAGTATGCACAACGTACATGAAGACCACAACCAATCTTCATTACATTAAAATACAAATAAAGACACGTATTCAAACCACACCAATACATATAGCTACGTGTATATTAATTAACAATCCATCAAAATTGACAGGATCGATTGGAGACAGGAGACAGGGAAACAAATGAATGACGCAAACCAGACGATATTGTTGTAACATTCATTAAAAATACATCAATTACATCACACCTTTATTCCCGGTGGGGTTAACTGGGTTAAAGGTTGGTAGGGAGTATAGAAATTCATATAGGAAGTCTATAAATTGGTGATGTTTTAATAGTTTCATTTATAACTTGGAATTACAACAAAATATAAGTGGAGTTTGAAGCGATAATTGAGGGAATTCCACGGTAATTTCTATATGTTTAAATAATGGATATGTTACCAAGTTACAATCTTAATCCCAATAAAGACACAAAAAGCGTAATGGTACGCATTTTTGAATAAAATAACGACAAAATAAAAATGAAGTACCTACGGTAAAAACTTTGCAACTACAAAGTACAACCTTACTTTATCTAAATCCAGGTTTTGTACAAAGGAATTGCATTAAAACTTTACCGAAATCGTCGTTTTAACTTTGCAAATAACGTCGGTTTAGATAACGTGGAACTGCAGAGTGCATGCCGTGCAAATTTTTCACTGCTACAGACGTTTCGGATTTCCACAGCTTTGCAAATTTTTGTACCGTCGCAATTTCAAATATCGTTATTTAACTCCGAAGTTTTCTTAAATTGTAATAGAAATGTGTAACTTTTTAAAACTAAGTATTTATAAAAATTTAGGACGATCATAAAGTTCAAAATCGTACGTGGACTAAAATATATTCTGATGATTATATGTAGGTACTATATTATATGATTATTATTATACTATATGCTGCATTTGGTCTTGATGATTTTGTCTTCATCTACACATCAAAGTCTAATTAGAATTTCACCTTATAGTTTTATTGTAGCTTTACAAGACAAAAAAGATGTTCTCTCGAGAACTACCTACTCAAGTAGCACCAAAGAGTAATTTATTCTAATCCATTCCACACGGACCAAGTTGTCTGATAGTTCGATTTACAAAGTTCAAGCGGTGAACCTTACGAAGAGTGAACTATCAGACACCAGTAGATACCATCAGTCAAATTTAGAGCTCCAATTAACTCGAACACACTTCGAAAGCTAGTTTCCTGCGAGATAATTGCAATCCAGATCCATCAGACAAGTTTAACACGCATCGCAAAAGGTCAGATCTTTATTCAATTTAATGTATTTCCGAAGTTAGAACTTCGTGACCTATGACGTTTATTTTGTGGGTGTATATGCAAGGCAATGGAGGTCGAGTGTCCAGGAGATGCGGGTCTCTGATTTGATTTGATTGATCGACCGTTCCGCATACCTGACATAGAGCAGCCAAAAGGCCAGGCGAAACGGACCTTGAAAAGCGAAACCTCTTTCGTGGAAAACCCGTTACATGCTTTCTTCGAAATTCGAATGGTTGGAGTTCTTTGAATTATTTGCTTTTTAATTAAAGCGTGTGGTAAAATTGTGATTGATTGAATTAGTAGTAGATTGTTCAGTTCAATTTGTCAGTAACTTTATCAGGGTTTTGAATAATGGTTCTTGAACCGATTTAGACAAGCGCTATGTAATTATGAGTTGTAGCACGAATTCTCGACATGCGCCAATATATTTGAGGCATGTGGTGAAAGGCTTGCTTTTTATTACATATACAATTATACATGTAACAAATAAAAAAATCGACAAGTTAATGCTGTAGGTATATACTTCTCACGTTAATGTCAAGTTTCATATAAAATGTGTTTTTACTTTACAACTCCTGCTTCTGTTCTGTTCACCGAAGTCCCTAAGTCAAGAGCACTTAACTCCATCATTTGACAAACGCCTTTATATTGTAGCAATAAAATCGATTTTCGTAGTTTGAGTACTGTTCGGTTGACTGTATACTGTCTATATTGGAAGCTGTCAAAGTAAGTTATTCTTTAGCACCGTTTTACTTGGAGCCTCGTTTCAGTATTTATACTGGCTAGGCGGGCTATTATTATGTGTCTAGGGCATTTGAAAGTCATTCACCTTTTAAAGTTGCGCAGTGGGTGATGTAACATTGAAATTCAGTCTGCATACTTTTGAAATATTTTTACTATGGTAGGAGTTTTAGATTTGATTCTTAATGCGGTACCTAAGCTGTTTTGCGCGGGTGGCATTCCTTAACACAAGCAATAAACAACGTAGTTTTAAAAAAAACATTGGAACAAACTAGAAACTGAAGACGAAAGAGAAATCGATATAGAAACACATTGACGTAAATCTCAAAGTCTTTGTACCTCTATAAGGACCATCTTTCTTAACATTCAAGTACTTTATTTGTAGTAACTTCCTAGAGTAAATCATCAAGGGTTCATTGATCTTAAGACAAACTACCTTCATTAAGCAATGCTAATTAATTCCAAATACTGACATTTGAGAATTGAAATGAACCAATTATTCGATTTATTGAATAAGAGAAATGTTTACCTATGCCTTTATATGAATTCATTTTACCTAACCCCATGCATCTTTTTTTATTATAACTATCGTGGGACATTATAAATTAACTAAAAATTGCGGGTTACTCACGTACATATATAATGAATACCTACTATATAATCTACCTGCACCTATACCTGTCGCGCCGTTGTCGCGCAGCCGCGCCCGCTGCTCATGAGGAAGCACCCCTCTGTGGTTCAAAACTAGTAGAACTTTTCTCAGTATATTCACATGAGTAACCCACGCATATTATTACCTAGTGTCAAAAGCCTTTATGGGAAAGCCGGTAAACGAGCAGATGGCAGATGGATCACCTGGTGGCAAGCAATCGGCGTTGCCTATGGACACCTTGAACACCAGAGGCGTGAGTTCTTTACAAGCGCGTTACTGGCCTTTTGGGGGTTTTAGGAATTTGAGGATAGTTGGGGATTCAGAGATCGGGGAGATTGGGGAAGACGGGGTGTCATTGAGCCTTCGGTAACCTCACTCACTCGATGAAAGACAACGCAAGCGTTGTTTTACGTCGATTTTCTGTAAGGTCATGGTATCACTCCGGTTGAGCCAGAATATTCGTAATGTAATTATGTCCTGTGTTATAAATAACCGATTTAAACGATTCGTGCTGAAGCATGGCTCTCCCACACTTAAGCCTTAGTGAAACTTTCATTTTCTATATCAAAATCTTAAAGTTTTATAGACACATTGTTAATTGAATTCTTGTTTAGTAGATACAGTGAAACCTGGTTAATTGAGACATCAAGGGACCTGCAATGTCGTTTCACTTATAGAGGTATTCCACTTACCCAGTGTCTCAGATATACAGGTATAAATAAATATCTGTCTCATTTACAGAGGGTTCTATAAATAGAGGTGGACTTGGAATTATGTGTGTAATTTGTGGGTAGAATAAGAATGAGTAAACCACAGAAATATTAAAAAATCTGTGGAGTAAACAAACAATGTTATCTCAGTTACAGAGGTTTATGCATATAAAATTGACTCGCTGTCTCAGTTATAGAGGTAACTATGATGATAAATCGAAAGAACAAATCCCAGATATAGAGGTTTACCTCGTCCCACTAACAGTGTCAAAGTGTTAGGACGTCAACATGAGTTCCAGTTATGGAGGTTTCTCACTTATCCAGGTCCCACTTAATCAAGTTTCACTGTATACGCTAAATACCAGATCACAAAGGCAGTGAAATGCTAGAAAAGTAAAAATACAGTATTAAATCATGGTACAATATAATAGTAGGTAGTATAAACGAGCGAGGAGATTAAGTGCTTTCTTAAGGCGGTAGAGACAATAAAAGCTAAAGCCCTCACTTCTTTTACGCATAGCTTAATAGCTGGGAATCTGATGTTAAAATGGAACGTCTTTCAGTTATGTAGCCTTAGTGCTTTGGATTCTACTATTTACTAAGTACTATTTATATGAAAGGTGCGGTATAAGACAATTAGATAGTGGTTTTGTTATGATTTTATTTGCAGCATTTTTTAAAATTAACGGTATCTAAATATTTGGCACCTATTGTAATTCAAACAAAAGCTATTCAGATTTAAAATAGAGTAATGTTCATAGCAACTTACTACTTAAAATACTACAGAGCGCGTCACTAAAACATGCACAATAATTAAAAAATATAACTTTCTTTCTGATGCGAGTCAATGAAAAGATATTTCTTTGTATTAATAACCTAAACACTTGTTTTGAGGTCAATACAAAACAGAACAGATAATTCATACAAATACCTAATACATTAGAGTTTATCACTGGCTATAAAAATAAAGACTACATTTGCATAAAGCGATGGAGGATAAATATGACGATAATATCTGCATAAGTGAATATTGTACAGATTTATATACGAACATCTGTGTTTATTTATTCATAGTGATATGAAAGTCGTATCACGTCCATGAAGTATGTGGTTAAGGGGATTCCTTGTTATCTATGGTGGTACTTGAAACTTCATGGATTTGTAGCGTTAAATTGTTAAATAGAATAAATAAACTTTTTTATAAGAAGTAAGGAGGCTT